TTTTGCCAGCCTTCATTCCCGCGTACTAGGTCTGCTTTTATTCCCTTTAACTTGTCCAAAGTTGCTCGTACATTTCCTCTCACATCATCTAATTTGCCAAGTGTATCAAGACTTTGAACGTTATATCTCAGTTGTTTATAGAAATCGTGTATTTTAGTAGCATTTGTCCCTGAAATTACCGGTAGATTGGTGATATTTACTATGTATGCGTTCGCAACTTCAGCTGACTGTCCGTATTTGGTTTCGAGAATATCTTTGGCTTTTGCGTATCCCTCTTTGGTAAATGGCAGGCCGTCAATGTCACAACGTACAGACTCATCAAGTAATTCTTTTAAGTAGGCAAACTTCGTTAAGATTGGTATTTTCGTTGAATCGATTTCCGACGTAAATTTTCCCCAAAACGGTAGCCATGATTCGAATTTGCCGTCAAATTTCGCTATAGGTAACTTCGGTAATTTAGCGGCAGAATTTTGTTTACATTGTTCGCTATTTTCTGCTTCGCTTGCTTTTTCTTTTTCGCGTTCTTTCTCAAATTCAGCTTTTTGCTCGAGTAATTCTCGCTCAAATTCAAGGTTTTTCTTATGATCTTGCACTGCCTTCTCGTGTTGTTCTCGGCGATCGATTTCTTTAATTTGTGGAGCCAATCTTCTTACATTTTCGTCCGCTATAGCAAGTTCGTCTTCGTATTCTTTAGCCCATTGTGCGACGTCTTCTTCGGTCTCGCCCTTGGAAAATTTCTTTTCTTCTATGGTCTCTTTAAGATTGATTATCGCTTTGGTGACATTGTCAATAGATTCTTGCTGACGCTCAGACGCTTGCCGGTCACGTTTAGCCATTATTTCTTCGGTTTTTCCATGCCTAAATCTCAGGGCTTTTACTTTGCTCGCGAGTTCGTTTAGTTGTTTATCCATGTTATACTCGAGAATATATAAAATATATTATATCACAATGTCGATTCTTCACAACAAGCACGGGTTTTTTGCTCTTGATTCGAGCTAACTCACAATTAATCCCGTTCGGAGGTGCCACTCTGTCGTGAATTGCCTCCTATATTCACAACAACTCACTAAAAGTAGAGATTTCAAACGCTTTTATGAAAAATATATTTATTCTCGCCACGTCTCAACACAATCTCACAAATTCTTGCAATGTACAAACCGCATGCTTTTTTGATTGACACTTGCGCATTAATTAACTTCAGGTATGCCATAAACTGTTAAATATTAAATATTGACAATCTCCAACATACTGTACTTTACATCATTTTACTTTCTCAAATAATGGAGATAAAATATTTCATTTAAACCAGAAAAATACATCCCACTGCAACTAAATCAACTCGTTTCTTACAACGCACGTCAGTGCTCCTTCTATTGCTTCAAGAGAAGAATCAAAATTGGCTTCTGCGGGAGGATCAATTGAATGAATTTTCAGTTAATTAATTTTGAACGCTTGAAACTGGAGAAATTTGCAAAGTATTCCGAGCAGGCGCTTGTTTCTGTAGTGTAGCGTTCATTACGTGCGCATTACGCGCGCAAGGTCCCCTGTTCGATCCTGGAAAGTAGCTGCATTTGGTGTTTTATTTACAGAAAATGAACAGAGCAAAATTCAGCAACGCATTGAACTCGTGCTTCACCAGCCAAGTTTCTGTAGTGAAGTGGTCATCACGTCCGCTTCGCACGCCCAACGTCCCCAGTTCGAACCTGGGCAAAAACATAGTAAATGTGTTGCGAAGCCAGGCTGTTTATTATCAAATTTTAACTTGCGTACATGATCGGTTCTGAAAACGTAAACCAGTTTTTAAAGATCGTTAATTTGTGATACGGGCTGCACAATCAAATTATTGGATTTGAATATTTATTCGAACAGTCACATTTTTGTGATAAAATATGAACATTTAATGAGTAACATATATCGAGATACAACTTGAACAAGAACTGCAACGAACAATTACACGAGGCACTAAAATGGATACACCAAACGTTCGAATCAGGATGCATGACGTAATATCAACTAATTCAACACTCCTTCTCATTCGCAGTTCGAATGTTTATCTACCTACTTAGGTTTTATTGCAACACCTGTTAGTTCACGCAATTTCTTAAATTGTTCCTTTGGAATACCCTTCGTGAATAAATCAGCTAACATGCTACCTGTTGGACAGTAAAGAACAGTTAATGTTTTCTTTTCTACTTGATCTCGTACAAAATGATATTTGATGTCTATGTGTTTAGATCGTCCATGAAATTGTGGGTTCTTGGACATAGCAATAGCTGACTGATTGTCATCGTAAATGGTCATTGGTTCATCAATGTTTGCATTAAGATCTGTCAACAATTGTCGCATCCACAATGCCTCTTCAGCAGCTGCAGATAAAGCAACGTATTCAGCTTCAGCTGTTGATAATGCTACACAAGTTTGCTTTTTGCTTCGCCAGCTAACAGCAGCACCATTTATTT